TATCCACATACCCTCGATATCATCCCATATGTCTTCCCTCAACATGACATGGATTACGTGGCTCGATGAGGCGCCGCCTTGCCTCGGGCTTGCGCCACGTTGCGTGCGCATTTTCGGCGTGATGTGGCAACAAGAAGAACGTGGAAAAGCCTGCGCCACGTTGTGTTGAGCGCCACGTCGCGCCAAATGATGCGCTCGCAACGTGGCGCGAGCTCGAGGCGAGGCGGCGCCTCATCAAGCCACGTAATCCACGTCATGTTGAGGGAAGACATATGGGATGATATCGAGGGTAAATACAAGGTTTCCTTTATGATACTAGTCAGCACGAAACGGTTATGTTTGTTTTGCTATTTTTGTTATTCGTCTTTGTTTTTGCATTTGTTTTTACTGTGCTTGATTTCCTCGAAAAGACAGTCAACGTAAATTTTTGCCAAAGTAGTATAAATCCCGCGTCATTTTCTTTTTTCTTGGTTCTTTGTGCTTGTGATTGCTTGTGATTTGCGATTGCTTGTTCTGACAAAAGTTTGTGAAGAGTGTCCTATGGCTGTTAGCTTTCAAAAAGATTCAAAGGCAAGAATTTGCCAAAAGCTGGTAAGATTATAGGAAATTGAATCGCTAAAAAATGGATGAAGTGTAAAAATGGTTGTATAGGCGCCGTAAAACCTAATTGCCCGCGCCGTGCCTTCAACACCAGCGTAAGCGAGCGGTCGTCGCGAACGACTGTCGGCGTTCACCATATTCCAGGAAATCTTTCTATAATTTTCATGTTGTTCTCGTCAATGCAAGGTAAATCTTGACGAAAGCTCCCTTCAAAAGTTTAAAAAAATATGTGTGGAAAGGATGCGCGCTCATTGTCGCTCGCAAAAAGCCTGTAGCGCTCGGGACCAAACGTTTCCAACCGCGCTGCGCGTTGCTTTTCAAAGCGATGCGTGGGCACAATTGGATTTTACGGGGCCTATACAGTCGAGTAGATTTAGCGGTAAATATAGTGTGCTTGCACAGAAGGTGAAATGCGTGAAATTTGCGCATGAACAAGTAGCCACGTCAGTACCGCGGGCATCTTGCTCGCGCAATTGGCCGGCGTCACAGTCGAAACTATTTCTTCACGCGCCAATTTCACCGCATTTCACCTTTTGTGCAAGCACACTATATTTACCGCTAAATCTACTCGACTGTACTCGTATTCGTCACGATCGGCGTGAGCAGAGATGCTGAGAGTGGAGTGAGTGGAATATACCGCTAGAACAAATTTTAGAATGCCCCCAGTTGCAGTGTGGGCAAAGACGTGGAATCGCGTTTATTATGTCCATTTTCTTGCGATGAGGTTTCGTCGTTGCGTTTACATCGCCGAAACCGTCCGATTCTCGGCGATGGAATTGCTACGGCGAAATCGCGAGTACTATGCCCGATGCCGTACGGTTTTGCACATAGCCGACGAGAGGAACAACATGACTTATGTAAACTTTAACCAAGACAACGTGAGAAACGCTCATGGTATACTGTACTTTAGGGTGCTTCATAGTGCGAGTGACTACATATTTGGAAGAAGTTACTCTTTACCAAAAGCAGTCAGAATTGTTTTGCTGCGCAGGAAGAGGAGTGACTGATACGAAACGACCTCACATGTATAAGTGATTCTCATGCGTTTAGCGGGCGTGGCCCTGCAGACATTTGAACACGTTGAATAACTTGATGAGCTTACATTTCCAATCATTAGTTTTTGTATCTTGCTATCAGAATGCGCATACCATGGCAAACTCGGCAAGGCTCCGCGCTATACTGTGTGGAATGGCGATGCCAAATCAAGAATCCACCCAACAGCTGATTGCCTGGGTCCTCCCAATGTAACTTGAGGAGAGAATAAATAAAACATGGGAGCACTAATGCAAAGCATACAGACAAATGCTCTCTGACCACTTTGTAGGGCCGTATGATCAATTACATTGACGACTATCTATATATTTATATAATACCTTCTCGTAAAGTAATAATCGGCGAGATTACCTGAAGGCAGATCTTGCATGGTTTAGTACTACGCAGTATAGCAAACCGAATGTGGGCCATTGGGACATCTAATGCTTATTCATCTGCGTGCTGTTGTAGAAACTATTTAAGGGTCTCCATCCTTACTAGTTTCACAATACATAGTCTCTGTGAGCTTCCTGCGCTTTTATAATGCTACCTCGCATCGCTAAACGTGCTTTTTGGGTGTCCAACGGGCTATCGCAAGTTCACCATTGGGTCGGCGATATACGGTCCCCACTTGCTGTCGTTTTCAGAAACCATTATTCGTCGTCCGGCGCTGACCTTAGCTACAGTATATAGCTAACGCGACCATAAAAGGCTACCTCTTACTTTTCCATTGATCTTACTTATCAGATCATAAAGTGGTCCTGCATCTGATATGATTTGTTGTTTATCCTTTGGGTCTTATATATAACTAATCATTTCGCTATCCGTATTCAAGTAATGATTGAGGACCTAAGTTTGCTAACAACTGATAATGATAGATGATATCATTTACGAATTCTTTTTGTTGTTAAGGATTTCAAAATAAGACTGTCATTGGTAAGGATGACTTCATCTCTCTGAATGTACATGTTTTGGGAAGCAGAGGTTCTTCTAACTTCATCAAATAGAACCCTTGTATATTCTGGCGAAAAGTTATTGGGGTATCTCGATAATGATAAATTCCATGAGATATCTTAGAGAAACGTCAGTTCCTTAGTATTCCCACCTTATGGTATATTGGGAGAGTATCCAAGATGAGGAGAATTTTCAATACCGTAGCAAGACCAGAGAGTAAACAAGACAAAATATAGTTTCAAGATGACCTGATGATGTGGTAAGTAAGACTCATATGTAATAAGTAAGATTCATGACCAAAGGAAAGATAAGAGGCAGCTGGGTCGTCTTTTATGGTCGCGTTAGCTATATGCTGTGCTAAGGTCAGCGCCGGATTCCGACGGATAATGGTTTCTGTCGTTTTCCGAGTAATACCTTTGAGATGAAGCTGGCGTATGTCCATATCTGTTCACCGTACCCTAGGGAATTTACTTTGCCGCTTACGTGTAAAGAAAAGGGGCAAGCGGTGGAGGATGATGGCGAGGACCGGCCCGCCGCCCGTCACCGTCGGCTCAGTAAGCGTCGCGGCTCAAAGGCGACGCGTGCACTCGTATACTTGTTTCATTAAGAACGTGAGAATTTTGCGCAACTGTGATAAGCTACCAAACAGAAAGTGTTTTTAAACGTTATTTCTGTGCGTAGATTTCGTTATGGCTCCGTTGGGCGGAACTGTTGGCCAAACAAGTCGATCACTTTGCCTCGTTTGCTTTTGTGTCACATGGTAGACGCCAAACAATTGCTTCTACCACAACTATGGGTCAAACGTAAAATATGAGCAGGCAGTAAGGAGAGACCTATGCAGTGAAGATAGGCATGAGTCTACGCAGACGAAAATTTTCCTCCATTTTTGTGTCCGCTTCTTATTATCAGGCTGCGTTCATACTGATCCCGAAGTTCGGGAACAGTTCCAGCATAGCGCTCAAAGTTAGCGTTGTGCTGAGACTGTTCCCCGATTACGAAATCAGTATGAACGCAGCCTTAGGTGGATAAAACATGTATAAAAATATTGCAATCTCTTGCTGAGATCACGACCTTTTTTTGCGCTGTCCGGATTAGACTGACTCTGCACACCAAGAAGACAAGGCCTTGTGGTGGACAGATTGGACAGATAGGATGTCACTATGGGTATGGTATGCAAATTTAGAGCCAGTAACTCTGTCCACTCACATGCTTGTCCAGTCACGGGAAATATGGCCTAAGCGGGATTCCAAATTCGTCAATAAGTTCATCAGCTTCATCCGTGGCAGAGTTCTGGCAATAATACCAATCCAAAACTATTGGTTTACATGTCGCTAAATGTGGTTTTGAGGCGATACCTTCCTATCAAACGAGAGTATCACATTCACTAAGTCACACTAATCTCACTAAATCCGCTACGAGAAATTTTCGCAACAGACATCGCAACAAGGATGAACATCTACGACTTGTAGGCTTCACAATTCACGCTCATTGTCTGATGACTAGTAAAGCGATGTGGAAATATAGAGTTGCTGTGCTGTTTAGTCTGTTTTCCCTGGTAGGATCACGTGTTGTGTAGCCTCTTTTCCCGCACTAGTCTTAAGCGGATGGTGGGGTTTTATATACCAACTAGTTGGCGAACCCGGATCCGCCCGGGCCTGTCAATAATATATTTGTAATCAGCATGCTCGATTACCCCCCTGTGCCAACTCCCAGCCCTGTAGCTCAAATTCTGCAAAAAATCGATAAAATCGATATCGATCGATAACGAAAAGTAGCCTATGACACGCTCCCTGCCCCGAAGTATATGTGTGCCAAGTTTGGTCCGAATCGGTTCAGAAATAATTTCTATTCCGCACATACGTACAGACAGACAGACAGACATACATACAGACAGACATTCAGCTTTATATATAAGAATGTGCAAGCATTCCACATCTATGAGATTGGCGCTATTCTGACATCCAGGCAAATTTCAAAGCTGTGATTTTTGCTGGAACAATAGATGGGCTTCTCCCACACGTTATTTAAGAAAATTTTCCGACAACTTACTTTTTTTTTGCATTGTGTGTCGGGAAAACCGCAGACTTGGCTTTGATTGGTCTAAGAGGGTTATCTGGTATGCGAAACACAAACAGCATACTTATCTTTGCATAACGAGGCTTCTTCGTAGAGTTCTGGAAGGTGTACGGCATGAGGCCATGGATTTGCCGTGGACCTCGTCCTTTTCGGGCAGATGTGCCTATGCTAGGTGATTACAAAGTGATGAACAGTGGTGATGGGTACTAGCATGGTGCTACACTTTTTGCATATTTGCAACGCCAGCGCAAAAACGCGCTTCAATGATCAGTTTCAGTGCGACGGGACTGCGGCGCGTACCGAGCCGACGGTGACGGGCGGCGGGCCGGTCCTCGATGATGGCACGCCGCCATATTCAAATCCCACTTCCTACAGAACTCTTTGAAAGTTTCAGGTCTAGAAAGCACTAGGTACCAAAGTTTGAGTCATTTGAGATGCTGCGCAGTGTTGAAAAGAAAAGCAAGACTTCCAAAGAAGAAAATAACCAAGTGTCATTAATTTGTCTGCAGACTGAGAATAGCCAAATTCACGCTGCAAGGGCATGTGCGCCTTGCCGAAGCGAAGCCATGCGAGCGGTTGCGTAGCACTTGCCTATTTCAAGGCGCGCATGCTCGCTTGAGCTATATAACGCTAATTACTTTCGCAGAGATACTATTGTTTTTTTTCGCTCTAAAGTAAGTATGATAATGAGATGATGTAATTGCTTGAGAATTGAAACACGCATCAAGAATTTAGCATGATTTCCTACAGATGAGACTGAATGTTTGGCCAAATCATTGAATTCGTACTGAATGTTTGTTATTCTTGACCCATTTCCTATGTAGTCGTGTCTGCATCATCCGCGTCTGCAAATCGCCCGTTCTGCATGAAATCTCGTGGAATTCGTGCATAGGTCCGTGAAATGTTACAATTCTGACTCTTGATTTCTGGTCCTGGTATTATTCAGGTCGAACATGTTTTGAGTTTGGATCCGTGCTTCATTTGCTAGACACTTTTATCTACTTCATCAAAGCAATCGGTTTACAGATATGGCTGATGCTGTAGCTGCTCCTGCAGCCCAGGTATGTATTATTGATGCAGTTTCCTTCCTCAAACCAAGACTACAATAACAACTTGCGCAATTTCCTTTTCTTGGATTGCGAAACAAACGCATCCGCGGGCTTTTGGTCTTCAGCACAATATTAGCAGCCATCTTTTCACTCTGACGTCAAGTTTTGAATAAGTTTGCTTGTATTTTAGGATGAGGGTGGAGGAATGTGGGCAGTCGTTAAAAGTTTGGCTTCTCGAATTCTACTCGTCTATTTTGTATCATCAATCATCAAGGTGAGTGGGCGTATTTTTAGGGTGCTGTCTGCTAGATTGCAGTTGCATTCAGAGTTTTTCTGGTGGTCCTCCACAAAGTACTAACGACGTCTCATCGAAAGGAGCAGTTTTCCAACCATCAAGAAATCTTTTTCCCCCTGGTCAAATGTTCGATCTACACTTGTACCTCGAAGACTCGGTTAGCGCTGAAGAGTTTCATTTTCTATCATTCTATCCTGAAAATACCGTAACCTTGTTGGTTCTTTGAAGCTCATCCGTAACATGATGGTCCGCTCTCGAATTCGCAATTTTTTAAATTGTCTTACAAAACGTTTAAAACGCCAAGGCGTGCTCCTTTTGCAATACCAAGAACGTGAAGCTGTGGTATTGATGTTTTGTGAGTTCGAGGGAAGAGAACTTGTGTTTTGTGGTCAACTGTATCTCAAAAGTCACTTGCAGTTAGTATAATGTTTTGATGATTATGTATGAATCGTAATCGCTTATCGCGCAGTTACATCACGTGTTGTTATTACTCACATGGTATCATTATGCTCACTTCGAACTCATTTGTTAGCATTCTTTCTTTAGCCTCTTGCCGTCAATCACTTTCTTAAGTTAAGGAACAGCGTTTCTCGAACTTCGAAAGCCACACCCCGTTTTGGCAAGAACTCAACATCAAATATGGTGATTACTCGGCTGGTCCTGACAAGGTGAGATTCTCTTCTTTAAGCGTTTTCCTTATACTGTACCGTAGACTAACGCCACAACATATTTTATTCTACCAAGTTTTGTCTTTGTACACGAAGTATGCCTTCTAGTAAAAGAAAAAGGAACAAGAGGCGTAAAGCCGCTTCAGCACTATGACACGAATAGGTAGAGAATTGACCTATCGCATGGGGAGTTAATGTGAATATTTGGTGTTTCCCATATGTTATTTGAGTTCTGCTGATTTGTGAGCGACATTTGTTCGACTAGTTTCTATTAATCTTCGGACATCTAGGTGCACCAAGTCCGGAGTCTTGCGCTAGAGCTTATAAAAACGTTTGCAATTTTATTCAATTTGAAATATGTAAAGGATATTGGTATGCATAGCTTCCTGTGTGATACTTATCGTTTTACAGGATGGAACTCTCGTCTTCGAGAAAACATTGCCAACTCCTGAGCCTTTGATGCGGAATCAATCACTTTACTTGCATGTTTTCATAACAAAGGCAGGACACTCACCCAACCCAAGGGAAAGAAGTTTTATCAAACGTGAGGTATGATCGCCCTCGTTTCTTGAACCTTTCAGGCACTACAAATCTAAAGTTTCTTATTTCGGGTAATTCATGGAGTGCATCGACTCAACAAGTATAAGAAGAAGCACTACAAAGTCACTGCTAATCTGCTCACCGGGAAGAGCGAACAAAGCGAAGACGATTTGAAAAAAGCCTCCACAATGAATTTTGAGGTGAATTAAATAGCTTTGATTGGGATTCAAAAATAATGTTTTAGATCCTCAATTTCTGGCATCCCAACCTCACGATAAACTTGGTTGACGATCAAACAAGGTGGACTAAAGGTGGGACCAAAACATTATCTGTTTTTTAATTTAGTTCGATCATGCACAGGTTCTCTACCTCCACCGCTGGATCAAGCTGTCGAATTTGACAGTATAGGAGGATTCTATCTGCCCATATTGTTTTTCAATAATTACTGGAATTTGGGTTCTGAATACATGCCCGTAAACGAGACGGTCAAGGTAAAATATTTATCAGAGTGACTGTGATTCTGGTAAACAACAGTCGGATGTATTATGCATTGATGGGAAAATAGTTTAGGACGTTTTTCAGGAAATAACGTTGCGTATAAGCTACCAACCGTTGTCGCTCTTCAAGTACCAGTTGTACGCGAGCCAACAAGTGGGCGTGTTTTGTTTTGCTTTTTATCTTGTTCATTTGCGCACTATACATAATGTCAGATGCGAAATAAATGGACCTCCATGCTTGGTGGAGAAGTATTTGAGCAAGATGATGACGACCAAGATACCATAAAAAGGGCTCTTATAGAGACGAACCCTATTTTGCTTGGCAAGTCTTACTTTATCCCTTCTTATTCTTTGCTGTGACATGGATCACAACGGATCTTTTCCATTCACGAAATTTTGCAGCAGTCACTGTTATTGTTTCCTTACTGCATACGGTATTCGAGTTCCTCGCCTTCAAAAATGACATACAGTTTTGGCGCTCCAGAAAAGATCTTGTGGGCCTCTCTGTGCGATCTGTGTTATTCAATATCTTTCAAGTTAGTTAAATTTCAAATTTCGGTACGTCTGGCAAAGAAACTTCTGCCAAATTTGTGCTTGAAATTTAGTCATTGATCGTTTTCCTATATATCTGCGACAATGACACCAACTGGGTGGTCAAAATGAGCGTCGGAATCGGTCTTCTCATTGAATGTTGGAAGATACCGAAGGTCGTCAATGTTGAGGTGCGCTTTTATCCACACATATTCTGTCGTGAAGAGAATTTAATAAATGTATCTCATACAGATAGTTCCATCGAACAAATATATCCCGTTTTTACCTTCGCTGAAATTTAGTGACAAAGGTTCATACGTAGAAAGTGCTACAAAAGAATATGATCAGGTATGTCGTCATTAGACAGGTCACTATGTCTGCATACAATTGTTTCTTCAGTTAGCATTCAAATATCTCTCATGGTTGCTTTTCCCTCTCCTTGGTGGCTACGCCATCTATTCTTTAATGTACGTTGAACAACGTGGATGGTATTCGTGGATGCTCAGCATGTTTTATGGGTTTTTGCTTATGTTTGGCTTTATCACCATGACTCCACAGGTATGTTCTTCACGCTGAGTCAGTAGTAGCGCGACTAGCGCGGCAGCTGTGTTGAAGCAGTCTTGAAGTCTCTGAAGGCTAGATCTCGTTTAAGTATGAGTGACGGTTGAAGAGGTGTATCCCATTACTTATGAGTGTCAATTAATCAGACGCCGCGCGCGATGGACTGGTAGTGACCTGCGCGAGGAGAAATAGGACAGCAGAAGTGTAGTGCACAGTCTTACATACCTCCCCACTCATCTCCATATCCTTCTATTTATGGAGATGAATCAAAAACTTGTAAAAGTAATTCGGTGAAAGGACAAGAAAACGCACACTATTTAGTGTTCTACAAAGTGGTTTTTTCATGGAAGTTGTTCTAAAATGTGTCCTGTTGCAAATAAACAACACTGCGACACATCTGAAGAACTTACGGTGATCAAAGATTGATGCAAGATCGTAAAGACTGATCTCAAAAATTTCGATGTGTCTATTGACAGGATGTGTATAGCTCGTTTGCAAAATCGCGATGACGGATTTGACTGCGGTCCTTGCGCCACATGAGCAAAAAACACTCGTATAAAACGGCGTCATCACCTCACTCTCCGCTAAATCTCTTCCCATGTCTAAATATTTACTTACTTAGATACTTAGATGGCCCGTCCTCACTTGTCTAAATACTGTCATATGTGAGCAGAAACTTTATTTGAGTGGAGATGAAACCTAGAAAATGCGGTTGCTGGGAAGTGTGTGCGTGTCGCGCGCGGCCGCACCATCGTTACGATTTTTCGAATGCCCTACATTGTTTGAGCTTGCTAAGTTGGACAATATTAAAAGCCCTACATTGTGTTTACTGTAATAAGTGGCCCAAATGGTTCCTTTGGGATTTTGCGATTCTTTGGAAAATGAGGCTGTCCCATTCAAAAGCAGGTATTTCGCCACTATAATGCCGCGTCGCGGCACTTTCTAATTGAGTACTCACAAGTAATGCCCCTCCCCTTTGGTTGAAGCATCTGGAATGTTGTCGATTGCTGCGGATTGGACTGCAGTTAGTTTTAGTGTTGAAAAGGAGTGCAATGGTGGAAAGGTGCCGCACTGCTTACTGCATTTCTTTCAATGAGTGACTTTCCACATAATAACGAACTATGCTACCGCATTACAAGTCTAATACTATCCTTGATCAATTCTCGTTATCTCTCTTTTCAGTTGTTCATAAATTATAAACTGAAGTCAGTCGCGCATCTTCCATGGAGAATGCTTACTTACAAGTTTATCAATACCTTCATTGACGATCTGTTTGCTTTCGTCATACGGATGCCATTAATGTATCGCATAGGATGCTTCCGTGATGACATTGTCTTCCTTGTAAGTGCTTTTTTTATAGACGGAAGATAATATCGACGTTTTTGATTGCAATATTGGCATTTAAGATTTACTTATACCAAAGATGGATATACCGTGTTGATCCTAAACGCATGAACGAATTTGGCACTTCGCTTGCAAGTTCCACCGAAGCTAATGGTCAAATAGACATAGCTTCAGATGCTAATGCTAATGGGGAGATCCAGGAACAGGAAACGAAGAAGGATAGATAATTGTTCAACTCAGATTGTTTGTTTTCTCCTATTTGTTTCTTTCAGCTTCTTGTTTTGCTACGAATTGTTAGTATAGTAACGATTGATAAAATGTTTGAAAGGTTTTTCATGGTTCTTTTAGGCGTTGCCTTATGAGAGTGGGATGCAAAGTTCCAGAGAGTTCTTCTGTAGTTACGGTTTAGAGTTTACAGCAGATGTCAAAGTTCTCCAGCATAAAATTCCCCTTAGGCAACTAGTGTTCCAGCACAGTGCAGTCAAGTTCAATGTTCCTTGTAGGCTTATGCACATTATACCTATAATTCATTCGAGACTAAGAAAACGTCAAGAGATGGAACGCTGATTCCGAATCTGACTTCCGATTCTGCTAATCGTTGCTTTTGTAGAAGTTATGAAAGATTTACACGCAAGTCTGGCCACCGAAGGGAATTACGATAGGAACGCCAACACCGCCGGTACGCTGTCGAGCTGTGGTCAGGCGATAGTCTCACAAGTTGATGCAAGTGTAGGCTCGTCCTTTTGTGTTTTTCAGTTTTGCATAGCCTTATTAGGATTCTTTTCAAGAGTTCGACATTCTTGAGGTAAATGCATGACCTTTCCCTTCAAAAATATGGAAAATAGGGAAGAATGGTTTCTATTCACATTAGAATCTACACATTCATGCATGTATCGTCTGCGCCCCAGAGAGGTTCCCATAGGTACCACGTCATCTCGCTGCCTTTCGCACTTTTGAACGTGTTAACCTCGGGCACTTCCGTTGAAATCTCAGGAGAAACGTGTCAAAAAGAGCGAAAGGCAGCGTCGCACCACGTACGCATGCTGGTTCACATGGGAACCTCTCTGGGGTGCAGACGGTACAGTCGAGTAGATTTTCCGCTTAATATAGTGTGCTTGCACTGAAGGTGAAATGCGGTAATTTGCGCGTGAACAAGTAGCCACGACAGTTAGCATGACGCCAGCCTTTTGCGCGAGCAAATGGTCGGCGTCATGCGCGCAGCTTATTTGCTGCTGCTTACGCGCAAATTTTAGCGCATTTCACCTTCCGTGCAACACTATATTAAGCGGAAATCTACTCTACTGTACCTCGAGGATGCCTAAACTTTATAAAGAAGCTTAATTGAGGCAATGCAAACTGAAAAACACAAAGCGTTCGAAGTTACAACTGCATCAACTTGTGAGGCATTAACCGCGACACCACAGCATAACGGGGATGATGGCGTTCCTATCGTATTTCCCTTGGGCGGTCAAACTTGCACGAAAATCCTCCATAACTTCTTCCAGAAAAACGATTAGCACAAACGGAAGTCAGATTCAGCATTAGCGTTCCAAGACGAGTGTAATGGTATAATCATCTCAAAAGGCGACGGACGTTCGAGTATCGTTTCCTTGTTAGCAGCCGCGCGCTGGGCATGCTCGCAGGCGATTCGCTTACAGATTCTGGGCTATTTCGTGCAATTGACTTAATAAATAGCAGGTTCGGAACTTTGTACCAAATCACCGTAGGCGACGTCAGAGGACCAATGCCGTTTGGAACAGCCTATAGTATCGAACTGAGTGAGATTGCTTGTCCGTGCATCACTTCTTCTGGTAGGTAATGTGGACTAATGTGGGAAGTTAATCATAGCAGTGCCCGAAAGCATACCACAAAAAGGCCTGCGTGCAGAATAAAATTCGATAGCGTATTATCCGTCTGAGGTTGATATATCACTTTGACCGCTGCTCACACGTTGCCTAACAAACTCGAACTGCCCACAAGTTGTTTAACAAACTCGAGTCGTCATTCCGTTCATTCCAAGCATCCACCCGAAATGAAGTAAATAGCAAGTGCTAGTTACTCGCGTGGAATTGTTTCATCTCAGAACTGCAGTTTTGAATTGAGTATAGGTTCTTTCCTTTGGAGGCAGGTGTCTTGCTTGAGTATCTCGCGCGAATATGCAGCAAACACGGACTTCTACAGGGTAGAGGAGTGTATGTCGCCGAAAGGGGGTGGCCCCATGCGGACATCTGAGACAAAGCGTGCAGCTCCATACTTGACAGGCATACAGATTTGTACCAGCTGCCTGCGCGGGGTGGAGCCTATCGGCAGCATATGGTCCCTTACCCACTTTTACACATTGCAAGCTCGCAAGTTGTCCGCCAGGGTGAGGCCTATGGCGGCATACATAGTTGCCTACCCAAAGTAACGAGCTAGGCCGGGATTGTACAGTGTGCCCCAATCGGGATCAGGCCGAACCGTTGGGGTGAATTGCGCGCTCGCAGCGCTAGGGGTTCGCGCCGCGTATGCGCACTGTCGGAGAGAGCGAAGAGGTCGAAGAGAAGGCAGACAAAAGGCCGTGGGCGTGACGCAAAACCCTAGCGACGCGGGCCCTGCCATTTGGCCTGATTAAGATTGGAGCAGATTGTAGTACAGATGGTAGAGGTGGAGCCCGCTGTAGCACGTAGAGCCGACACCGTGCATCCTCATTCGACACGAGATCTGACACGATCGTCCTCATTCGACACGAGATCTGACACGAGTGACGACAGCCATCGCCAATGGGCCCGCCCCGCTTCAGGGAAATTGGATTCCAGCATACTGCATACTGTACATATCAGGAATGCTAGTCCGCAGAGGCGGCATCTGTCAGCAGTGCATCTGTTTTTTTTCGACGGGGCTAACGTCACGGTTTCCAACTCTCATGCGCTTTGTAGCCTTGTATTCAGCATAAATGCCGGCTGCATAGAAGCCAGCGTTTTGGTTAGATGACGCGATGACCATTATGATACTCTATGACTAAAACTTCTACATTTTGATTCGGCCTAACAAATGTGATCCCGCATACGGTAGCTGTTTTGACGCCGACCTTTCAGTCATGGGAAAACGAGCTATGTCAACTCGACCTCTAAATGGTACTAGTTTCTGCATGAATCCTACATGTCCCATGAGTAAACATATTGAGAACCTGCTTTCAAACCAATATCATCTATACTGTGACTAAGAGACTCGAAACTGCTTTGCACTCATTGTCTAAACATGTTTGAACTTGTTTTTGATTGGTCTCTAGTAGTGAATAATGCTAAATGAGATAGATCACAATTCTGGACCTGTTAACACGTTTCGGACCCCGAAATCGCGCGGCGAAACACAGTGTACTTTCAACCGTTAGGCAACTAAAGGACTTATTTCGTAGACCGTGTACTACGTCTGTAATCAGCATGGCAGATAAGCTCCCATATTCAAAGTTCTGAATGAATTCGAAGTGTTTGAATTTTGTCCCATGAGGACCTCTATGTTTTCTGAAAGATAGGAACAAGAACTCGATTTCTGATAGTATCCAGAAGTATCTATGTTGCACGCGGTACACATCGTTATTGAAACTAAAGTTTTTCTTTTCGGAATTGAAGCAAAGAAAAGTTGCGACGTCGCATGCGTCCTTCGCGTTGCCGCACATTGTTGCCTGTTGTTGGATTTGTCCGCATACAAACATCGGCAGCGCCGCTCCACAGAGTCATTTGAATAGTAGGAGCTTAGGCCTTTGCCTTGATAGCCTTAGACTAAAAGAAATCCTCCCGTAAAAGTCAAAAAGATCCTTTAGCGGCGTGCTGCACAATGTGCAGCACCGGTCCGAAAGGTGTCAAACAACGTCCAATTTTTAGACAATGTGTACAAGGCGATACGAATCCCTTAGTCTCAGGATGAATGATAATTTCATCATAGGTAGGAGGAAAGTGACAAACATTGAGGACGAAGCAGCTCTCGCCTGTCGCACGAGGCGTTCGCGCGTGGGCGCGACGTAGGTATAGCGATGATTGGATCTGCTAGGATTTACGGAATCTGCGAGCAAACACCAGTTGCTGGTTAGATGACTACGCACACTAAATTAACTTTACTCGATTGGTAGGCCATCGACCTCAAGTCTTCCACGGGGATTTTATGGATTCGCAAGCCTAGGCCGTCTCACTTGAACAAACGCTGCACTGCGAACAGATGGTGTAAGCCTGCACCCGAAATGACTCAGCAGCTGTGTTCCGCAGCGCGAATATTGCGTCTACCCACAATGTGCGCACACAACGTAGGCGTTACCAAATTGCTCGAACCCTTCATTAGGCTTGCAGTGGATATCCACACGATGGTGATGTCTCTCCATCTTCGCTCTGCGCTGAAGATTACACAGTTCAGTGAGGATCATCTTGTTTACCCAGCTCTTGCAGCGATCGAGCTGCCGCGCGCGACCGCGTCACTTTCCCCTTATTACAACCACAATTACCGGCTGTTCACATCGTCCTCGATCTGCGTTACTTACGTAGCAACTCAGATTTTTATGCTTTTTTTTTCTCCTTGCCTTTTCAGTATAACTCTGGATCTGCCACTCCGTAAGCGAAGGGTTCAAATTTCTAGATGTTTTACCAAGTCTTTCCAGTCAGATGCATAGTACGCATAGACGCTTTGTCCAGCTCAACCATGAGCTAACCTATGGATTGATGTTCAAAGCAAGCTTTCTACTAAGAATCTCTTCGATATTGCTATCTGTAAAGCACTTGTGGGCACAGCTTTGTAGTTTGTGGTGACCTCCCTTTCCTTAATGATGTGATTTCTCAATAACTTTGCGGGGTGCCTCTCAACCTGCTTGCTATTTCGGGTTCATAGCGTATGTTCACTAGGAAAGTACTTAGCTAGAAGATGTTATTTTGAAAGTGATTTACATGAGTAGATACAGCATGAAATGCTGATTACAAATCCGTCTTCGTTACCTGCGGATACCTTCCTACATGAAGTAATGAGCGATCTCGTGGGCGAAAACGCGTGCTAGTACAAATATAAAATTATTTACAACAATTTTGCGAGTTCAAAAAACGGGGCAGTAATGCGCATTGGAGCATTCTCAGCAGAGAATGCTTTCATCTAACTCTCATGCTCAGGTGCTCCATTTGAGCGCTTAAAAAACTGTAGCAATGCTTTTTTTTCTGATCGCGCTTCCAATCTTTTCTATGGAAGACGTTTATAACTTCTTCTAGGGAGACAGAAGATAGTTCATACCCCACCAAGACATGGTCATCTCATGTTAGTAAGATGTCTACAAGGGTGCGACGTCACCTACATCTACGCTTGCTACCTTCATGAGGCTTATCGTTTATGCTTGTGGCATTTGGAATTCAACTCATCCTGACAAAATTCAGCGTACATATGCTAGTTTTCATAGCGCTCATGGCAACTAGTAAGAGCCAGTTCCTGTGTGTGGTTTGCTAGATGTGGAGAAAACGAATATTTGATTGATGTGTTCCTTTTTATATTCTCTATTGTCATCTGGAATGGTATCTAATTTGTTTTTTCAGGAGGAGATGGAGAACCTTGACAAGCTGGTGTCTAGGCTTGAGAAGGTCACCACAAAACTAGAAAGTCTGGGGGCTTCAAGACCACAGCTCGCTCCAAAACCTGCACACCTCGGTGGAAATGGCGGTATGTTCCATCTGGTTCTGTGTTTTTTTTTTCTTTAACAAGCTGTGCGATCCCGAAGCTTTCTGCGGGGTCAGAGACTTAAACTTAAACCACAATAAGATCGTTCTTTGCTGGCAAACGAGGGGGCATGGGTACTTTTCCAGAGAGTTTCTCCATAGGGTTCATGCAAGTGCAAGCAGTATTACTTCTCTACGCGTTTACGCCTGCTTCTACACAATTTTTTTCATACAAGCTTAATCTGGGCTTGGAAAATTGTGGCGAAATGTTCGTTATTGTTGTGTTCCATGTATGACTAACGCATTTTTGTCGATGTTTTGAAACGCGCAGAGCGTATCTAATGAAAATGAAATGAAATGAATGATGGAATGGGCATATGTTGTTCCTTTGTTCAACCTTCACCATATTGCGTACCTTTTCCATATCTACAAAGCTGTACGCTTTTTATTCTGAGCTTTGATCTTGCATATGTAAACGGAGAAATGCATGTGGAGGAGTTTGGTCCAGCGCTGTAAATTGTCCTTGCATTTCCTATGCATGTTTAATATAACACCTATTTTAGAATCCCTTACTCCCACAGTACTTGTACATATGTCAAAAACTGGTCTTTTGCGCTTAGAGGCCATTTTTAGTCTTTTTTAGTCTTTAGATTTACAGCCTCATTCTTTCTAGGTTTTGCAATTTCACGTCTGCGTCAGCCTCGGTTTTCTCTGATAAGCATCCTTCTTATTCGATTATGCTATAGTGACAAATTTTATAGACACATCTCCACTTCTGTTATCAGTGCTCTGTGCAAATATCTTCCTTTTTCTCCGTCGCATAGTCGTTCTAGTCTCTTGGTGTGCGCTTTGCCTTCCTGACTTACATGGTGGATTTTCTGAGCAGCCTTCGGAACTTTCAATCTGTCCATTATTAACACTCTTTGGGTATCTTTGATGAGGTTAATACCTTGATTATGATCTTTTGGGAGAAGTTCCAGTTACTTTCATAGCCATCTCTTTGAGCTGTTTTTACAAGAACCAAGGATGTTTGAAACGAGCGCGTCTAGCTTGAAGACGCCCATTACTCTTGCGCGCCAAGTTATTACCTACGGGAACTTCTCTCACACTCTGTACTTGAAGTCTCACTAAAACTACACTTTCTGAAACTCTGCCATCGGAGAAGGAAGTGCGAAGAAAATATTATTTTGTAGGTATTGGCGACGAAGGAAAGAAAACATGATGGGATTGTGCATGTCTGATTCAAGTTCACGCTGTAAGACATTCTGTTATGTTAAATTTCGCGTCAAGAGGGAAAATCTCGGTATCAGTTAAGGCAGCGTCCACTTGCATCATTTATATTTTCATCAGTCACAATCTAAGCATTCGGAAAGTGTGGGAAAACTCTCCAAAGCGGAAACGAGTACGCGGCGGTAATTTCGTTGAAAACGAGGCTTAGATGCACAGTATGCGTAGCATAAGTTTGTCGTGTCCGTACTATCGGGAGAAACACGTCAGTGGGCGAGGACGCGCATATTTGGAAGAATTTGAAGGCCTCTGCGCCTCCATTTTCTTTCCATTGTGGTTTTATTCATTGTCGTCTCGCCTTTTGAGCAACCATTCTCAGCGCATTCCGGGTCGTATTTACAATTTCACCATCTTGATCTCGCCTTATTGCATTAAATCACTACCAGGGCCTGGCGGATGTCTGCTGCATATCATAAGTTCTCTTTATATTCAAAGTGCGAAGTCTCCGTTGGTAAACAAAGTTTTCCATGGTTCGCCCTCTTGTCAATCGCGATCCTCGCCTTTGATTGGAAATTGGATATCACATCCACCTGAAACGCACTAATAAATATAAAGAGTAGCAGATTTGACAGTTGTTATAGTGTCCTTGCCGTAGCAACCTTTACGCATGAAAAGCGTGCAAAACCTGAAGTGTGCACTGCCATTTTGCACACGCGAATTGTCGGCATTGAAGGCATAAGTGTTCAAGCGCAAATGTTGCTAGCAAGTCCGGCATCGCGGAGACACTGCATATAAACAAATCTCCTAGGGAGAGCACTTATACAGCATTATCCCATCCAGATAAAGGTTGTGCCCAAAGGGTAGCGCAACAAATTACTTCTGAAGAAGAAAACCACTTCGGAAGCTTTGGCATGGATGCTTTTTTGTGAACAGGTACTTCGTACTCGCCATCCATCGATTTGAAATTGCAAGCCAGAGTGGAGTATGGTGAACGAACTCCCAAATAGGCGCCGCGTCTGCGAGCTACTGGTTCCTTGCACATGCTGCTGCATACCAGTAGTCAGCGAAGGCGCGCCTAATGGCGGAGCCTTCTTACCCACAGAGTGCGTTTGCGCACACGGTTATGACCATGGATCCCTCAAGACTCGCCTCATACCTAATCCCTTGATCACATGCTCTATCATCCATTTAGCTATAAGCGAACTGACCAATAGCGAAGCGGATGCCCACTTGGTGCACTTGCTTCACTTCATCCTCTCGCTATCGGTCATTTCACTGATTTGGCCAGTAGGTTAGTGGATGAAGTGGATCAAGCGGGTCGAGTGGATCAGGTATGGCGTGTGCCTAACGTCGCTGCGTCTTAAAGGCAGCAGCTCGCCAAAACCGAACATCCCGAAATTTTGACGAGCAAAGTTGCTTGCACCCCAAACATGAGAACAGAGCAGGTCCGAGCGCACAGCATGCTGCCCTTGCCTAGAAAATCCCGTTACGCTGCCATTCTAATACGCGCGGACGAGGTTGCGATTATCCCTAACCCGTCATAGAAGGTATGCCGAATGTCATAATTGCGAGTGTCCCGCAACGACTGCATCTCAACCATGGCGGGCGTGCTCCACTCGTCCAAATTCAAAATTGGGCCTTGGGAAATGGTGGTTTTTGCCATTTTCGCGCTCTTCAAGGTGGGTCTTCGGAATCAGCGCCTCGAATTACCCCAGGTAAGCAAAAAACTTCAAGTTGAGAATCTGCCGAGCCGCTGCCTTTAACTTTGGCGTGCTTCGTGTGTTTCGGAAAAGTCGGTTTCCGACATTTTCGCACTTTTCGAGGTCTCCACATCAGAAATCACACAGCGCACGGCGGCCGCTTTGTCGCACGCAAATCTTGTGTCCCACGAAACTTTCCACTGCTAGAGTGTGCGGCGGGAAATAGGAGGTTTGGGGGTGAAGGCAGATACATAACCCGATCTGACATTACGTTAGGCCTAAAGCATACTTCGCGCAGTTACGTCAAATTGCTACATCTTCCTTGGTGATTTGCCATATATTTACAGATTAACCGTGCGGTCTAAAATGCGTGGATGCTTAGCTTCTGTAAGTTGTCGCAAAAGCATGAAGTCTGAAGCACGCTTGCAATTATTTATGAAGAGTCATTGCAGTGTCATATCGCGCAGCGACGAATCACGTAAGGTATGCCTTAGGTCTCGGGCAGAGTTCACGCATTCCATCGCCTCGCGGTCTTCTAGAAGACAATAGTCACGAGTCCATTGCATTCATTTTGCATTCCGATTGTGATAGTTTTCCGAAAGGACTAATCGTGACAAACTTATCATGACCGAAATGCAAAATGATCGGCATGCAACCTCTGCCCGAGGCCTTAGAGTACCGGCAGGAGGTGGCTCTTGTACTGGTTGACGTCCGGGGCATCGCCGAAAAATTTGCGCCGCGTCTCTCCTTGCCCCCCTTCCCTCCCCCCTTCCTCCCCCACCATATTGCGCTTTGGTAACTACCACCGGGAAGCATCTACTCAGGTAAGGAAAATTCTTTCAACCGGCATTTTGCTCGGACGCTGCCCGCGAGGACTAACTGTGCATGCATTTCGAAGATGATAACGTTTCGTTGCCTAGGCGCTGCAAGTTATTACAAATTTGACACACATTTGTGGTAAAGTGTAAAGGTCATGTATATCCGAATAAGTTACTTTGCTAATGGGTGCGAATGCATAATCTTCACCATTATAGCAGTGTCCCGCCAGATTTTGCATTTCCACCTTTCTGCATGTTTTAGGTCTTTTCGACACGTAGATCTCGAATTTGAGCTTTGAACGGGGTGAGAAGACCGACTTTGGGGTGTTTATCAATTTCCGAAATGCAGCTCGGGCGAGGGTTTTTATGTATTGAGAGACTCTAGCACGAAGACGCTGTTGTCTGTAATTTTGTTTTGGATAGCACGCAGGGGAGGGGAACGAACGCTGCCAGTTCGGGCGCCTTCACGGACTACTGGTCTCGAAACGGCATGCAACAGCATTGAAAAGGACCAGCTGCTCGCGGAGGAGGCCCAAACTGGCGGCGTTCATACCCCTATTCTAGCATGCATAATGCGGGAGCAGTCATGAGGTCGCGCCGAACAACTAAGCAGAGCGTCCGAGCGTGCGCCTGTTTGAGGGTTAATTTCTTGGCGCGCAACGGGAACATCAACCAATTTTGCTAGCCCTGGAGGTTAGTACGGTGACCAGGAACCCCACCACGGTTATATCCTCCACGACTCGATTCTGTCGGGACACTGCCTTGATGGTGGTGCATTTCGGCGTGTCAGGTAAGCAACGTTCCAAATGGGAACATCAAATAATAAGTACCCTACACAACTCCATTATTTGTTCTGTGCCATTTCAGAATAAAAGGACTATCAAAATAAGTACCCCAATTCCACGCCTACAAGGCGCAGGGAGTCTTTTTTCAAAATCGACTAGACCAAACACGCCAATGGACTTCGCGACTAAAGGGCCCTATACCGTGTTATGTATCGCCCAAGAGAATCGTGCGGCATAAAAATCGCCTTCCGAAACACAGTGGAGCGGCTGAGCGGTTTCTTGAAAATTCGAAAAAGGTGCTCGCGTGAAATTAGGGTACCGTTTTCCAATACGTTTGTTCTCAAGCACAAAAAGATATCACGAAAAACACAGCAGGACAACATCTTCCAAATTCTATCTTACACTTACACTCTTGAATGTGCGGGTGCACACCATAGCAGCGAAACCATCCAACTGTTTGCATATGCATCTCATGTTCACACGTTTATATGCAATTAGCTGTCATGCCCAGTTTCGCCTGCACCGCTATTTTAAATGGCTCAACAAAGAGCAAACTCTAAAGGTCAATTCATCTGCGTTTTGCCTTCCTTCTGTATCTCGACGACAGAGGACATATTACTGCTGACCGCATTGCCGTGAAAAAGCATCTTCCCCATCGTGGAATGAAAATGAGTTCTACCGCTATTGTTTACACGAAAATTGTAACTGGCTTGACAATACTTGATAAGAGTTCATTTTTCTTCAAAATCAATAAATCGATAGAAGGAGTGAGTTTTTTCGCCGCCGAAAGTAGCCTCCGGCATGGGCCGCTGTCTGCAAAGTTTGGTGCTGATCGGTTCACATAAAAAAGTTTTCGTAAGGAACACACTAACTGTTAATTTACCTACACTCAGCTTTATATATGTATAGATGCATTTCATATTTATAATTTTCACTCCTCTGTTCTGCACAAAAATAAAGTTCTGCTTAACCCAGGTCATACGCGGGACTCTGGTCAGTGTGTTTTGGTGGATGTGAGATTTGCAAGGAGTAAGGGACTTTTTTAGATTTTAGTTTTTCGCTAAAAATGAATTCCATTGCAGAATATTGTGAGTAGTTTGCCGTAAGGCGAGGATTCAACGGTCTTGGTAATTAAAGTCTTGATCAACCATCTCACATAAAAAGTCTCTGGAAATGTGAATTGAGCATATGTAACGCAACCTTTATGGATGTCTAAATTTGAACGTGAAGAAAGGTAATCGTGACAAGCGAAAGGAGTTTTCCTCTGCCTTTGTCAGACCCAACAGAAAGTCCCCGCCTTACGACGGTCTCACAAGTGAAAGGGTCGGGCATGCACGCTTGACCATAACGCTCAGCCAGTATTGATATACAGGTTTGTTCTAACCAGCATGATTTAGGTGGATCTTCGGACGCTCCTCCTCATGTGAAAGCCTATGACACCGCGTTATCAGATGTGACTGAGAGATGGTCTGCTTTATCGAAACAAATTGGCGGCGACGTTTTAACCATGGTGGGTATTTTTCCAGCCGATATCATGAGTCGCATCCAAACGATTTGTTTCTCAGCATGACAAAGTTACCCATGTGTTTGACACGCTGAGAAACTTTCTGTGGACCGCTGCAGGTCGAACGGAACCTTCAGCTGAAGAAGTTCACAAACTCGTTGCTCCCATGGTCAGTCTTCTGTCGGACATCACTTCTTTCAAGGTAATCAATTAAGTCGTTTCGCTTGCTTCTTTCATTCTATTCAATTAGGATTCAAAGCGTAATACCCCGCAATTCAATCATCTGTGTGCGGTTGCAGAGGGAATTCCAGCTGTCGGTTGGGTTCTTGTGGTAAGTTTATTCGTGTAGATTAGATGCATTTACAGTTAAGAGGAAAATCTTGCCTTCAGAAGAAAACGCCGGCTCCATATGTCAAGGAAATGTTGGAGGCAGCCATGTTCTATATTAACCGCATTCTCAAAGAGTTCAAAGTATGTCAACCTTTCATAGAAATTACTGGTTCATTCACTCGTACATAGCTAGCATCTATCATATTTAGGATGGCGATCAGAAACATGTGGAATGGGCTCGAACATGGAAAGAGTTGCTGGAAACAATGCAGACATTCGTTCGGCAGTACCATACAACTGGCCTTACTTGGAACAGCGCTCCGGTATTTCCCATCGCTTGTTTCTCAATTTCAATAAGTCTAGAATTACTAAATTGCTCATTAAGGCGTCCTCTTTTAGGTCTATAACAGCTGACGTATAGAATTTGTTCGAGGTTGACGTATAGAATTTGTTCGAGGCTTAATTTCACTGTTTTGCTCATTTTAGAGTCTACTCTTTAGGATGTACAGTGTTGTCCGAGAAATTTTGTTCGGGGGGGGGGGATCCCGACAGGAAGTATCTTTTCATGAAAGCGAAGATTTTTTTGGGGTTAAATTGAACCTGATCTTTCTTCCAGCCTTTTATCCTTTTTCTAGTTCAAGCATGCATGGCTCTTTAGGCTGCGTTCATAGTGATCTCGAGGTTCGGGAACAGTCCCAGCACAGCGCGCAATTCGAGCGCTGTGCGAGCGCTGTGCTGGAACTGTTCCCGGACCTCGGGACCGGTACGAACGCAGCTTTTGAATCTTGTACTGCGAATAAGCTATAGCTGCAGAATGCTAGCTGACATGGACGGGAAACGCAAACGCCAAGAGATGTTAGTATTGGATAACAGGAATGAGAATGCGTCCTTCTTGTCGCCCAATTTGAGTACTCCGAAATTGTCGCAACTTTTGTAGACCACTTTCGTGAAGAAAACTATACAATTCACTGTTGAGGAGAGTTATAAACTGGTACTCAAGAGATCCTAACAAAAATTATTCTTGCCGGCATCGCCGCTTTTATTTGCACTCACATGTAGCTGGTTGGGATGTCACAACCGTGCCTTATCTTGACGCTATGCTGGGGCTAACAGGCGCTGCAGGATTGATATCTGCCGTGGTAGCGCACGAATCATAACTAGAGCAAGTAAAATCTGATCCAGTATGTGTATGTGTGACTGCACTTTTGCCTATTTCTTGAATAATGACACAGTTGTTTAGGGTTGCGGAACGCCGCCATCTGAAAACCGCAGCGCAACTGCTGACCATGCTCCGACCGGCGGTCCTCCTGCTCCTCCTCCTCCGCCTCCTCCTTGTTGGTTTTCCTTAAGTGTTGTTCATGAAAATGATGTAGATGCTACAAGTTGACACTGTATGTGGATTTTGAGTTTGGGTGCTTATAACTCGGAAAATCGTGAAAGCGTCTCCAGAATTGCAGAAAATCTTGAAATAGCAGTCTCATTTCTATAAACCATCTTAAAGGCACCATCCACCCAAAATGGAGGTTGGCGAGATTATGATGGCATACTAGTGTGGGCCCCCATACTAGACAAACCTCCAAGCTTCGCCACAAAAGACTGCTTCTGGAGCGAGAAATCCGCTCGGGAAGTAGCAAAGTAGGCGGGGCGACCTCGGTCGCCCCGCCCACGTGCATGCTTTATCTCGCCTGCGCTTGTTGTAGAGGGTTCTCGAAACAGGGATTTTTGGGGGTTTCGCGGATTTTCGACTCCATATTCGGAATCAGGGCTTTCAGAAGGCCTGAAGGCGACAAAAACATTGAATTCGAGATTTTGGGTGGACGGTGCCTTTAAGGGAAGGACGGGACTTGATGTGATTTTGATAGTAAGATGAACGCTTTGGTTTATACCATAGGACAAAACTGCGCAGAGCTCCTGGTTTTGCGTTTACACTTTCCTTATGTTTGTTTGTGTGTTTGCAGCTTTCCTTATGGATACGTCATCGTCATCTCCTTCCTCCGCCGATAGCAAAGCAAGCAGGGACGCATTATTTGCCGAGCTCAATAAGGGTGAAGCCATTACTGCTGGGCTCAAAAAAGTGACGGCTGACATGCAGACGCATAAGAATCCTACTCTGCGTGGACATGAGGTAGGCGGCTGAAGCTTTTTCGTTTATGAATAGGTTTATTTTGGACATCTTGCATGAATTTTCGATCGTCTGAATCTACATCGCTCCAAGGCATAATGAGACACCAGCTTCAGCGATTTCTGTGTAGTAGTATCACAGTTGCCTAATCCGACTTCAATCCGGACTGCGTGCGGGAAACATAGGCATAGCCCACCTAGACTGAGGATCGTCAGATTTTGTTGCTGTAAAATAGCGGGGCCGCTACAGTCGAGTAGATTTCCCGCTTAATATAGTGTGGCTTGCACAGAAGGTAAAATGCGGTAAAATTCGCGCATAAACAAATAGTTTCGACTGTGACGCCGGCCAATTGCGGGCGCAAGTTGTCGGCAGTACTGGCGTGGCTACTTCTTCACGTGCAAAGTTTACCGCATTACCTTCTGTGCAAGCACACTATATTAAAGGCAGTGTCTAAGCAGAAAGTCGATTTCCAGATTTTGTGCTTACCTGGGCCTATTCGCTATGCTGAATCCGAATATCAACACTTGAGAGCGCGAAAATGGCGAAAAAGGGCTATAACGGAGGAGGGAAATCGCAGGTGGGCGGGGCCGTTCACACTGTGACGTCACTCTCCCAGGCTTCAGGAGCGATATTCTCGATTCCGATTTTATGTCATGTGTTTCGCAGTGGCTGGTGGTGATGCTAGGACGACTAGAGGAAGCGAGAAAATCGCTCCTGAAGCTGGGAGAGTGACGTCACTATGTGAACAGCCCCGCCCACCTGCAAATTCCCTCCTCCGTTAGAGCCTTCTTTCGCCGTTTTCGCGCTCTCCAGTGTTGATTTTTGGATTCAGCATGGTGAATAGGCCCAAGTAAGCACAAAATCCCAAAACTGAATTTTTGCTTGGACACTGCCTTTAAGCGAAAAATCTACTCGACTGTACCTGAGTGATCGTTTAAGTCTCTTTGCTAGAGGTGAACTCCGATGCGAGAAAGTCGCTCTAGAATGTAGAAGCGGAGAGGGGGCTCTTCGCACAGATGTAGATGGTGTGATGAATGATGAGTTGAGGGAACTTTGATGTATCAAGAATTGCCATAAATCTGCCCTCATTATATAATCAGTACTTTGAAACTCACTTTTGGACCCATTATTTCCACCACTCGTGTTCTTCAGCCACCATCGCCGCTCCAACTTCTGGAGCAATTTTCTCGCTTCAGTTCTTATGCAGCGGGCTGGCTGTCGTTTAGTCAAGGGCTTCACTTTATACAGCATTCAAATCTCAGCACCCTCAGTCTATAGACGGTGGCTTTGATGCAGCATGGTCATGCATAAGTCTGCATCTCATTCTCCTAATCGCAAACCATCCTGAAAATCACCTGCATTGTACAGGCTGTTCAAAATCTGGTAGCCGCGTCCTATGTTCCGTCAATTTTGGTCCAAACTGGGTTGACAGAACGTAGGGCTAGGTTGCGTCCAAAGTTGCCGAGGTAGCATAAGCTAGTAGATTCTCGGCTTGATTTCGATTCTGGGCTTGATTTTTTCTTACATGTCGACATTCGCCGACAACATTTATGTTGTGCTTGTATAAATAGCTACGTCTGTAACGCTTGCTTGCACACTCAAATTGCAGCGCGAAGGACACCAATCAGATTTTCACCGCTTTCATGCCAGCGGTTTCACTGGCACACAAAGCGCAAAGTGCGTTCACTTCATTGTGGCCGATAATTACAAATGCGTATCTTGTATCCTACTTAAAATCAATTCATTGGGTCTAGTAAAACAGTTGATTTGATGATCATGGTGAACTAGAACTTGTCCTTACTCATCTCTTTGTTTACAACCATTTTAACCCTTTCCTCAACCTTACTGAAGCTACGGATGATTTAATGTGCATGTTTTTAGCCTCCGGTCGTACATCATGGTGCACATTCTCAGCAGAAGCAGGTTGCTGCTTCTGCACCGATCCATCATCCTCCAGTGATTGAACTCAAGGATGGCAAAAAATGGGACGTGGTCAGTAACTTCCGCCTAGTTTCGAATTGTACTACGTTTGGACAAGTGATTGCTGGAGGGAATTTCAATATGTCAAGAGAATCTCAAAGTTTTGTCTCGAAGAAGACTTGAGCTCGTATACGCTAAGCATCCTATGCACAGGCCGCTTTCGCACCGTGTATTGGATTTTGAGCACCAAAGCGACAAGATCTTATTTTAGCGGATGCAAACATAGTAAGCTAGATTACGTAGGACGAGGATGCGCGGTCGTTATCGCCACTCTGACAACAAAATACTTTGACGCAAATTTCATGATTCTAACATAAGACTCAAAGATTTTCGAAACTATATAGTAAAAGGACAAAGAGATACAATTTGTGTTGCGTAGATCATAAATCAAATCAAATAAATATAATTGATCAACCAACGTCCGAAATGCTTTCATTGGCCGGCCATCTAAGCATTTTTAATCCCAATGAAATTTGACAGTTATAGTTCCAGAAAATCAGCTGGAATCACTCTGCTTGTTGAAAATTTATTTATCTGTTTAGGTGAGGGTATGCCCCGTACCTAAGGGAAGGTCAGAGGTCGTCGGCAACTGTATCCGAGGTTGCCGGGGTTGCCAAGGTTCCGGTTGTAGGACTTCGTGATAGCCTCTACGTTTCGCGCTCTCCAAGCTGACTCTGTCCCCGATAACGCCGGCAACCGGCAACTTCAAACACAGTTGACGGCAACCTATGGCCGTTCTGTTTGCATCCCTGCGAGGAGGAGAGGGGATCTGAGAGGGGACGCGTCATATTTCGCTACTTTAGATATCTTTCTTCTTCTTCCCCTATCTGGCTCTCGTACACTTATATCTGCGCATAATGGATGCCAGGTCACTTCCATACAAGATTGGTTCTTTGCCATTTTATGTGATCCCCGGAGGATCACCTATCTTTTTCAAAGTGAATTAACTTCTTGTAAAATCAATGAAAACGTTGTAAATTGCTGAGGATATACTATGGCACTGCTGAGCATGTTTATAGTAGAAATAAGTGAGATTTCGGGATGAACGAAATCTTCGATGAAACACTGCTGAGCTAGGGATTACCGAAAAATTTACAATCCTCAGATTCCATTTCTCCTGTTGAAAATATGTCAGCAATGCCGTAGTATATCCTCTGCAATTTTACAGCGTTTTCATTGAGTTTTCAGAAAGACAAAGGACTTGGAAAATTTTCATTCTTTTTCATTCATTCTTCTTCATTCTTTCTTTTTTCATTCATTCTTTTCATTTTCATTCTCATTTTCCAAGTCATTCACCTCTCATCTATTTTGTGTGATCCCCTGGGGATCCCCTGGGGATTACACAAAATAGTGACCTGTCCTATGTCAGTACCCTGGCAACCAATATGTCAGGTATCAGGGTATGAGAACCTCCATAAGCCAGATAGAGAAAGAAAGAAAGATACAAGGCTTATCATTTGAAGTGTCTTGTGCACCAGCATCTCCATTCCCGCGCTGGACGCGTCTCTTCCCCGGAACATGCTCTTCAATCACTATTAATCAATTGAGGCTCCGCCTTTCCCACGTCGACCTGGGAAAGTATTCAGAGAGCATATTTCGTGGAAGAGACGCAGAGTCCAGCGCGGAAATGGAGATGCTGGTGCACCTGACACTTTATTTGATAAGCCCTGTATCTACAGTAACGAGATATGCGCGTCCGCTCTCAAAATCAGATCCCTCTCCTCCCGCGGGGATGTACAAGGGCTTTCAATCTGAGGCTCGTATGCATTAACATCCCTGCGGCGAGGGGTGCGACGTTCCCAATGATGAAGAAGCCGCAGCGGCGTCCGCACGCGGCCCTTTCATAACGGGGACGCCGCTCCCCTCGCCGCAGGGATATTAGTGCATACAGGCCTGAGTGTCACTGTCGACGTTGTTCAGTTCCTCGCGAGCCGCCTCGCTCGGCCGCTAAGGTCTTCGCGGTATCAAATGCTGTATTGTACCACATGAAAGACCCAAGCGAGGCGTCTCGCGAGTACCTGAACCACGTCGACCGTGACATTCAGATTGAAAAGCCCCTGTACGTGCATACGGGCCTGAACGCTAACATATGTCATGCGCCATCATCCGGTAAGCTGCTGAGACATTTCTTGATTGGTGAAATCACTGACTTGACCAATAAGCGAGGCGGCTAATGGGAAAAGTGTGGTGTTTGCCTATCATTCTTGGCGCACCTGGGGTGCCTGTTCCCATATGATAGCTGCAGGTGCATCAGGATCGCATGTGCTTAGCTCGTACGTGCATCTGTCCTCGTCTGGATAGACGCTTTTTTCACTTACTTTCAAATTTCAGGAGTACGTTGTTGGTAATCCTAATGTGGTCGTGAACGCTACGGACAAAAAACAAAGCATTTATATCTATAAATGCCAGGACTCCGTGATTGTAGTGAGTTCATGCTCTTTTCACGGTTCGAGCACTCTTTGCCTACGTCTGATTAACAATTTCAAGAGTGCGTTTAAACGCGTTTTGTTATATTACTATCAAAATCATGAAAGGACATGTACAAACTCGTTTAACGAGCTTGCATAACGAGCTCCAACTTTTTTTCCCACAAATTCCTAATAGTAGTTTATCAAAACGCTCAAATGCATTCATAAACTTGTTAATCAGACGTACGCATAGCGTGCTTTCGTCTCTCAGTCAGAGAATGAATGATAAGATGCACCTTACGTTCTTTAGGTGAAAGGTAAGGTAAATTCCATCACACTGGATAGTTGCAAGAAAACCTCCGTTGTGTTTGATGCGATTGTAGCTCAATGTGAATCTATCAATTGTCAGAGCATTCAGCTCCAGGTATCATGTTACCATTTCTTCTTACCATTTCTTTCTTCCACTTTGCGCCACCATATAGTTCAAGAAGATAACCTTCCAGAGCCTTGGGGAGATGCCTACTCTTTCCATACAGAAGACCGATGGATGTCAAGTATATCTTAGCGAAGCCTCGAAGTGTGCAGAGATAGTCACTAGCAAGTCCAGTGAAATGAACGTGCTGATCCCTACTTCAGATGGTGATTTCGTGAGTTTTTTTTACTGTTTTCGTTTATCTCAAGTATCTATACTGCGGTCAGGCACAGAAGAAACTCTTTGTGGGTTAGAATATATAGTTTTAAGATAATCAATGTATCGCAAATGCTGACTTTTTAAGTCAGAGAACAGAAGTGCTTTTGATATGCAAGCACGGTGTGTATATTTGTTACCAGTGCTTCATGAACACTCGTTCTTGCATCCATACGTTTATGGTGGATGAGATCAGCAAAACAATCGTCATAGTTGTTTGCTTATCATAGAGCTCACAGTTCTAGAGGGTGGTTCTCTAGCGTTAGCCTGTAGTAGTGCAGCGGGACCATTGTTTTGAGATAGGCGTACACTTCAGGAACACTGTTTTGTGAAGTTTGTGAGTAGTTGTAGAGGCCCGGATACTAGGCTGAATATCATTTGCATAGAAACTGTTGTCAGACTTTCTTCTATACCTTCTTATAGGGGGATACCAACGTTAGTTGGCGATTGTAGATGAGATGTATATCAATAGGCGCGCCTTTGAACGCTGATACCCAATCTGCTTTCCATTTTTGCGGAATAGATTTCCGATAGAAGTTATGAGCGTTTAAACGTCCAAATTTGTTACGGTTAAGGTGGCTTGAAATTGGCGAAAAGCTGTATAAAACCACCGAAAAGTGGAAAATCAGTTTTGTATCGAGCACATTGTCTGCAAGGAAGGAACAAAGCCGGTCGAAATCGCATAGGTATTGTTTTAGAGCTTTCCGCTAATTTTAAGCTATTCATTGCTTGCAAGTTTGGACATTCAAACGCTCGCAGCTTCTTTCGGAGAGTAGTTCCGCAAAAAAGCACATTTAGAATCAGCGTTCAAAGATGCGTCCACTGATACGCATCTCATCTTCGGTCGCCGACTATGTTGATATCCTTCCCTTGTCAGTGTCGTCTCATCCCCTCCCCCTGCCCCTAAAATGCTGTGTTGCTGCTTCGTAGAGATTTGTGACTCATTTGCGATCTCAGCGATTGGGACGCTAATCTGATCTCATTGATCATGTCGCTGAGCTTCCTCAATGTTGCAAAGCGGCATGGAGAAGAAGCCGTTTTTGTCACTCCATTACATGATCTGAAGCTAATTGTGGTTTTACAAGCACGTTTTGACATAGCTTCACTTCACAGATAGATTTCATCTACAACTGTAGGGGCCTGCAGGATCGCGAGAGTCGGACGTGCGTACGGCCATTGCGCCGCGCACGTCAGATGTGCGCCCGGCGACTCAGGTAGGTGCCAGACTTATCCTGTTGAACAGGTTCATTCGGTTCACCACCTTTGCTGTTGAACAGTGTAGTGATTTGACCTATGAACCGAACGAACCAGCTGAAGCGGATAAGTCTGGCACCTGCTTTAGTGACATCGGATGTGCGCGGCGCAATGGACGTACGCACGTCCGACTCTCGCGATTGCAGGCCCCTATAGACATTGAAGAGTAACTAAATAAAAAGAGGAAGGAGCATATTGCATAGATGCATTTCTTAACATTTAACACATTTGTACAAGACTGTTGCATGAAAAGAATTAGTATTACTCTGAGAGGCTGCTTTGTGATATTCCATCTTCTTGTTGCAAATTCATCTTAGTGCTAACTGAATTCATAAGCTTAACAGAGTATAACTATAGTCGTTATCAATAATTTTTCTCAAACTGTCTCACATGCACTTTAAATTTGTCACAGTCAACAAGCTGAACCAGGTGTTGATATAATATTCATTCTATGACTAAGAACTTTAAAACGCTTCGCCAACGTTGTCTAACTAGTTTGGACTCGATCTTCCTGTTTCCAGTTAATACAAATATTCTTATATGAGGTGGAACATAGGTATAATAAACCACAAAAATCGAGCTTTTACAATATCGGCACGGCGGATCTGTGCTTTTTATATTGACTCCTGCTTATGATTTCAGACGGAGTTTCCTGTGCCAGAGCAATTCAAAACTACATTTGATGGGAAGAAACTGGTAACATGCGTGTCTGACATTGTCTGATGATAAACTCTTCATCCCGTAATATGTGTGACCTTCCTTACTCGTAATCTTTATTTAATACTACCCTTCGTTTATTTGTCATATTACTGCTTGTGCCTTTAGCAGCTTAAACTCAATTTACAATTCTTTCGGTTTCAATCCCAAAAGAGATCTGAAGTCTGAGGTGTGCGCCTAGCTTTAACATTAACTCCTGGTTGGACATCTGGCAATAGCATAAGCATAAGCGAGGTACTTTATCTACTTGCATTTGTTGTCATGAATCGCGTTCCGTACTATCCATGCTTGTATTTTGTGTTAGATACAGATTCGCGCTCAATTTGCAATTGTTGTTATTATCTATCGCTATTGTTTGTAAATCTCAGCATTGTCGACAGGTAGCTAATCCTGTCTTTAGTAAATGGTTTCTAATCGGTCTTTTGTTTTTGATTTATTTTCTACAGATTAGCATTCGATTAAACCCCGGTAGGGGTCCAGAACTGACTATAAGCTAGTATGTTTCACGGAAGAAAGGGCGCGTAAACAAAATTAGTGTGCGCTTTATAGCCATTGCCTTGCAAGTCACAAGCAAGTTGTCGGCATCCGCAAGCATGATGTTTTTGTACCATCGGCTTCCAGTTTGCGGGATCGGGTGAGCGTATCGACATGCTGATCACGACTACCATACTCTTATTGCACAAAAACATCATTATGGATTACGGTGGCTATGGCAGGGGTCTGGGGGAGGGGAACGAACTCCGCCAGTTTGAGCCCTCTTTCGCTGGCAATTGGTGTGCTTTATTATATTGTTGCATGTCGTTGTAGGACCAGTAGTCCGCGGAGGCGGTTCAAACTGGCGGAGTTTGTTCCCCTACCCAGGGGTCTGAATCACGGATCTGGTTGAAATTTGGTCTAGGGAGTTTTCCAACAATGCTAATCACGAAAATTAAACTCTTTCTTCTAAATTTGCTCAAAAGTTTGCCTACTCAGACAATCGCAAATGACTTCCGGGGAAAACTGAAGTTTCAAAACTTCCGTAGGGCACTCCTACTGGAGCTGCTAGGTAGGGCGAGGCCACTAGGACAGGGCCCACCCACACGGCCAAATAGGAGCCAGTCATCTGCGATTGTCTGAGTAGAGGGGTTTTGAAGCCTGATGATTACGAATATTAATCTTGCTCGCTGCAATAACCCTTGCTGAGGAGTTGCGCGTTTTGGGCCAATTTAGATAACACAAATTCGCCTGAAGGCTATATCATGCGAAGTAAGCGCGATATTCGTGACTAGCAAGTCAGATAACCCTCCTGCAAATTTTCAGGCAGGTCCATGTTTCTGATTCCTACTATATATATATATATATATATATATATATATATATATATATATATATATGTATATATATATATATATATATAATATATATAATATATATAATATATATAATATATATAATATATATAATATATATAATATATATATATATATCAGTGGCGGTCCCAGGATTTCGGACCGGGGGGGGGGCGCGACAAAAATTTTTTTAAATGAAGGTGCGTGGCGTCAGCCACGCACTCCGAAAAATTTTTTGGGGTGCTTCTTAAAATTTTTGCGACTCCCCAACCCCCCCCCCCCTAAAGTCTGAAAAAAGGGGGCGTGGCGTCAGCCACGCCCCCGAAAAAAAATTTTTTTAAGGCTAATTTGAATTTTTAAAAAATTTTAAAAATTATCAAGTCGTTTGCACATTTTTATAACCCATAAGGTAATTTTCAAAAATTTCGCGACCCATTCTCGGGGGGGGGGGGGGGGGCGCCCCCCCCCCCCCCCCCGCCCTCCCCCTCGGACCGCCACTGATATATTAGGTCGTTTCAAAAGTAATTTCGCCTTTGTCAAACGGGCACTACATATGATGGAACAAAGCTTTCTAGGAGATCTTGGAGGTCTTGGAGGCATTAGATGCAGAATTTCATTCTCTTTTTCACGGTTATGAAGATGTTGCAAAACAGTCGATGAGTTTTCAGAAAATAACCAAATTCTGCGACCCATGCTTTTTGAGATGGTCAAGTTTCACGATTTTTTAAAACTTTCATATCAATCCCCAAGAGGAGTTCGAGTAACGCCTTTATAGAGCAAACCCTAAAGAACGCAAAACTACTTTTTTCTCCTTTCCATAGCTTGTCCTACATTTTTAACAGAATTTTAAGTGATGCTACCGATTTCCATACTAGGGCAGCTAAATCCTCGTAGAACATCAAAAGAAGAGCAGTTTGCGCACTGTTTGATGCAGCATTTTCTCCTTTTTCTAACAGGTGTTTTTTGTTTCCGATTCGTTCAGTCTTCGAAGCTAAAATCCTCATAACTCATTTTTCCAACAAGCCCCAGGCTGTACCCGAAAAACTCGAAATCTGATATTTCGAACCCGTAAACTCTCATTTGCATTATAAAATCAATATTGAGTCGTATATCATTTTGAAAGCTTGAAACTCCGAGTAATTACTGATGTTTGATGCGATTGTGGCTGAGGTGGGCCTGCCGAAATCCGATGGTTCTGTTAAAAAATCTTTCAAAAAATTACGGCGAGCTACGGGAAAGGGAAAAAAGTAGTATTGTATTCTATAAGCTTTACTCTATCGAATCGTTACTTGAACTCTTTCTGAGGATTGATATGAAAAGTTTAAAAAATTGTGAAACTTGACCATCTTAAAAAGCATATGTCGCAGATTTTGGTTATTTTCTGAAAGTACATTGATTGTTTTGCAACAACTTCATGACCATTAGAAAGAGAATGAAATTCTGCATCGAATGGCTCCAAGTTCTCTTAGAAACCTTTGTTCCGTCAAATGCGGTGTCCGTTTGAAAAAAGCGAAATTACTTTTGAAACGACCTAATATATATATATATATATATATATATATATATATATATATATATATATATATATATATATATATATATATATATATATATATATATATATATATATATATATATATATATATATATATATATATATATATATATATATATATATATATATATATATATATATATATATATATTAGTGGCGTACCCAGGATTTCGGGCCAAATATAAGACTTTGCCCCCGTATCGTGAACTACCATACTCCATGAAAACAGCCCATCATGCAGAAAGAGTATGATATTCGTGATTAGCACGTCGAATAACCCTTTGGGCCAAGTTTCAGCAAAATCCGTGACTCCTTACCGTATAGCGATATCGCGCCAAATAATATGACGCATCAGCTGGTCGAGCAAACCTTCTAGACCGAGCTTGATCAAAATCCACGACTTCAAAGGCACCGTCCCCCCAGATTTTGTCTTCCATTTTTGGTCACTGTAGGGGGTGGTGACATGGACTGCCGAAGCGATTTTCTCGCTTTCGAAGCGGCATTCTGCACCGCGACTTAGGTACTGGTTTGACAGCGGGTCCTACTATCGTAAGCTGCCAAAAGCTCAAGATCTCTAACTTCGGGTGGACAGTGCCTTCAAATTGTAGTGCCCGGATACTGGAGTGGCGCCCAATCTCTATGAGTAGGTTTGTTTTCGCGCAAATGTTGCACTGGCAACTAAAGGCTATCTCGAAAAACCACATGGATCATGGTCTTATCGGGTGGTTAGCGACATTTAGCAAGCTGTAGCGTATGGTATGCATGAGATAGAGGCTCATGGCTTTCGCGAAGCATTCGCATGGGCTTACCTCATATGAGGCATCCGCCTCCGTTTGATACTAGTGTGTATTGTATGAAGGTTATGGTTGTATGCAATTCATTAATTTGAAGTGACCACCTCAGTGACAATTTGGTTACGTCGAAGGTTTCCATTTCGCGAAATCCGATTCTCAGCGGCATTAATGTGCTCTAGTCAGACGTAAAAGCTACTGCCGCACGAATGCCGCAAACAGTCCGTGTGTGAAGTGGGATGTGTGCAAAAGTTTGGCACAGTGCCTTTCCTTAGCCAAAAATCGGGTTTGCAAACATTTGCTAATAGTGGAAGCGGGAAGTAAGTGAAATTTCTGTAGGTTTCACAGTAGAGGCTTCTGGAAGGAGATGTTTGTCATTCACATGTTGATGTGAATGAATACAGCAAAGCTTTTCCTAGCTCCTCAAAGGTTTTCCATGTCGAAGATTTACGCTATTTGCAAGGTAAGGCATTACCTTGCTGGGTCCAAAATAGCTTTTTTTGATGAGATTATGCAAATAGCATGGACTTACAGTATGCGAGTTTCTAAAAGGTCATCAGGAAAACTTTTGGAAAAAGTGGAAAGCTCCTGTGTTAGGGCCGCATGCACTAACCTCCGCGCGGGGGAGGGGATCGCAGCTCAAAAGAAAGCTTTATATTTCGAAACTCCAGATACCTAGATTTCACGTTGTGTAGTACTACACATCTAACACAAAAGTGCTAAGCATGTTGCTGTTGAGAATAAATGAGTTTTTGAAAAGTTGAATTTTTCGATAAACCTCCAATTTTGACCCGTGGATCATCGAAAATTTCATGACTTCAAAACATCATTTGTTCTTATCAGCAACGTGCTTAGCACTGTCGGGTTAGACAATCTGCACAACTTTGGAGGTTATTCGTTAACTTCAGAGAAAGAAAAATGACTTTAAAGAAAAGCGCCGGGGATCATTAGGGATCATACAAGCTGGAAGATGCGGTTCGTACAGCTTTTCGCTCCTGTTCAACATGTTCATAGTGAAGGGTAGTAGGAATACTTACGGATAGGTACACAACGTGAAATCCAGGTATCTGGAGTTTTGAAATATAAAGCTTTCTTTTAAGCTGCGATCCCCTTCCCGCGGGGATGTTAGTGCATGCGGCCCTTAGATTGCGCTGTAACCTCCTCCCTCCCTCCTCCTTTTCCTCCTTTCCCTCCTCTCACTCCCCCCTACTCTGGACGGTTTATCAGCATAAGTGTCTTCTTTTTCTCCAAAATTCTCTCCAAGAAGTGTTCATATAATCCTATTTCTTATTTTCTTCAAAATTATGCTACAATTACAAACATACCTTTAAGCCCAAATTAAATTTTTGTAAAATTCACGCATACCCAGCGAGAGTGATCTCAACCTTCCAACGCAGAATCAGTCATGCCTAATTTTGGCCTGGTTGCGATTGAGACAGACCGTACCTATCTTAATTCAGTGTATATAGTCGTGTTCGAGTCTCTTCATATGGTCGTGACTGATGTCCAAAATGAAAAAAAAACATAAAAAAACACAAAACACTCATAGGCTTTTCGTGTGAGACGGTCAAGAGGCGCGATTTCTCCGGTTGTCACTAGCTTAAAACTTGTCTGACATTACTGATTGCTGAGTTTGGTGGCTTTTGCTGGAATATGGGCCGAAAAATTTACGAATTTGTTCTCCTGCATTTTCATGGGTTTTTGACCTTCAAAGTTGCTGTTTTGAACCGACTCCAAGGTATTAAGATTGAGCAACCCATGCAACTATCTAATATATCTCCTTTTAATTTGAATACTTTTAGAAAGTCATAAACACTTATTATGTGCTATTTGGTGTCCATCTGGCAATAAAAATCGCGCCTCTTGACATATCCCGCGTTTCATCACGCACAGACTATACGCCGTTGCGTCCACGAAAATAGTTCGTGCATGGGAGAGACACCAAACGGCATGAGATGTCGAGACGCAGACTAAATAGATGGTCCGACAGTCTCCACGCCAACTGGGCGGTGCCCAGGATCTCCAGATGAGCTGGCACTCCCCGGGTGCTCGGTGGTCCCCTCCCCAGTTATGTTCCCCCACATTTATATAGGTCGTATTTAAAATCGTGACGACGGATTTGACTGCGGTCTTTGCGCCTACAGGAGCATAAAATACTTACACAAAGAGGCATCACCTCAAAGCTCAATTCAGTTACTTCCAGTGTGTAAATACTATGATCATATTGAGCAGAAAAACCACTCAAGTAGCGCTGAAAACCAAGAAAATGCGCTTTCCGGAAGACGTGTGCGTGTCGCACGGTCGCGCCATCGTCACGATTTTTTGAATGCCCTGTATATATGTTATTATAATGATAAAATAATCTAGTCAGAACTGTTATGTTAGTACAAAGGAAAGAAACTAAGGGTAGAGGGATCAAGTCAAGAGAATAGCTAACTCTTCGAACTTGACAGAGAAATGAAAGAGCGCTCGATTAACGAGACGCTAACAGCATCCGTAATGACCCCTGTCTTTGCGTGCGAAAACTGCTCATACCTGCATGGGTGTCTGCTCCAAGAATCTGGGATAGGGGCGACGAAGATGGACAGCGTACACTGACACACTTGATCAAATGAGACAATTTGACTGTACAGAGGATGCAGTTCTGAGTGTCGCGATCGACGCGGCTGAGCTCTCGCGAGCCGCCTCGCTTGGGCCACTTGCAGCGTTCGCGAACGTGTCCCGGGGCATTTGCATACGGTATTCCCAAGCATGATCGTGAGAAGCACCGCATATTTAGGCGTTAATGGCAGACAAGGTTTGGGAATACCCCGAGGCATGTTCAACGCGGCGAGTGCTCCCGGCGAGGCGGCTTGCGAGGACCTGTGCCGCGCCGAAAGCGCCACTTGACATCCTCTGTAGTTATCGTGCTCACGCACAAGCGTTGCGTCTGATGGGGCGTACGACGCCTATTTATCGCGGCAAAATATCCTCATGTTGTTTTGCTTCGGCGGCATGTGACGCTTTGTGCTGATGACGAAATGCGCGGAATGAACCGGTTGTTTTCGCAATGATGGAGAATTCCATAGTTTTGATTTCTGAAATTACCTGGAGCTGAAGTTGTTGATTTGTGGATGCTGGTTATCACGTATGTTATTAGATAGTGTTGCTTGTTTTGCTACATGCACTGGCTGTATAAGGAAGCGGCAAACATGCATTTTCAGTGTGATTCACAAAGCTTGACGTAAAGTTTGGATATATGTGTGATGCGTTTTCTCCTTCCTTCCTATCTTGTTATAGGTATATCAATTTTTAAAATTCGTCTCATTCTTCTGCTATCAATGTTGTTCCACCGCTTAGTATTTTCGTTCGATACAGATTGCAATCGGGCATTATGCAAATGGATTAGCGGCGAAGGAGCAAGGTTGAATCATCCTTTTGCGTCATGTGAGGAAGGGGGAGGGGGGGAGTACGGCCTGTTCTTCAGTGAAAAAATTGGCAATTTTTTTGAAGAAATTTTGGTCTGGAAAGGGCAGGAGTGATCCGCTACATTTCCAAAGCGCTTTCACGTACATATTTCGTTGCCTATATATGTGAACTAGCAGCTTTTCTAACTTCTGTCGTTTGAATAAATAATGGCGAGGCACACCTATGTATGAAATTGTAATTGATGACTCAGATTGGTTGCTGGAGCTACGAAAGCGCGTGTTCATTTTTATCGTCTATTGTATTAGTAGCAATATGCTCTTCGCTTTATCAAGCCTCCATTCTTATGCATTCACGTTCTTCTTTGTTCTATAGTTTGTCGGCTATTCTCTGAGAGTAGTTCCACACGGGGAAGATCTGGTAGTTTTTTTGCTTTTTTTGCTGTTCTGTCCGTTGCATCACGTCATCCGTCGTTAACGTTATAATCCCGCCTCTTCGTCGTTACCATATAAAACAGGTTTATAAGTAGGGCGGCGCAAGCTATTGGCTATTGATTCCATGTTGCTGTTGACATCTAACCTTTAACTGATCTTGCTTTACCGGCTGTTGCCGAGTATCATGTTTGTCCCTGCTTTCGAGAACTCATTGCTCCTTTCGTTACGAAATAACAGTCAAGCTAAATTCATACCACGAGAAGGAGAGTTGGTTATTGTAGGATGCACGTGAATACAGAAGATATCACGGTAATGTGGGGCCAACAGCCACATCAGTTGGACTCCACCTATGGAAAATGGCGTATAGCTGTATTCCAAGATGTTCAAGAATCCATCGACATGTCCAAGTTGTACTTCCTGTATGATCCTATCGCTGATGAAGGGAGTGGCACCAGGTTTGTCTTTGTGAATCATAAAGGCATGATGCCCTTTTTCGTGTAAGAAATGCATGGCCCTATGTTATGCGCTGACTATCTGTTGATAATGTTGTTTTTGTTTCAACTGATGTATTATGGAGCCTTGCTTTACGTCGAAAGTAATAGTAGTTCAGAATTATCTAGCTTACTTTCTCTTGTTGTTAAATGCCATAAATTCGACGTATACTCGTATTTCAGTGGCACACGAAAAGGTTACCCTGGCTTGGTCATATTCGACGTAAACATAAGATGTTTTGCTGGAGAAATACCGCTGCATGCTCAAGGTAATTGACTGTATCTACATTTGCTGTAAAGTTGCTCACTACAGTATTATCTCTAAGGGCCGCATGCATTAACATTTTCGCCGGGAAGGGGATTGCAGCTTTAGAAGGAAGCTCCATATCCTGAAGCTCCAGATATCTGGATTTTACGTTTTATACCTGTCCGTAAGTACTCCCACCATCCTCTACTGTGAACATCTTGAACGGGAACAAGAAGCTGCACAAGCCGCATTTTCCAGCTTTTTTGTTCGATCCCCAGATGATCTCTGGCTGCCAACCGTCTTTTCTATAAAGTCGTTTTTCTTTTTTCGAAGTCAATATAAACATTCCAAAGTTGTGCTGTTTATCTAACCCAACAGTGCTAATCATGTTTCTGGTAAGATCAAGTAATGTCTGGAGTCATGAATTTGCGATGAACCTCACGTCGAAAGCTGGGGTTTATCGAAAAAATCGATATTCCAGAAACTCACTTGATCTTACCAGAAACATGATTAGCACTGTTGGGTTAGATAAACAGCACAACTATGGAATGTTTTTATTGACTTCGAAAAAAGAAAAATGACTTTATAGAAAAGACGGTCGGCAGCCAGGGATCATCAGCTGAGGGGATCCCCTAGGGGATCGAATAAAAAGGTGGAAAATGCGGCTTGTACAGCTTCTCTCCCGTTCAAGATGTTCATAGGAAATGATGGTGGGAGCACTTACGGATAGGACAGCGTGAAGTTCAGATCTGGAGCTTCGGGATATAATTTTTTCTGAAGATGCGGTCCCCTCCCCGGTGGGGATGTTAATGCATGCTACCGTAAGTGAATATGTGCTTAGCAAATAAACTTCCTTTTTGGTTTCCCGTTCTTTTAGATTGTCTTCCGTTTTTTTATGAAAGCGTCATGAATTTAATAGCGGGTAGTTAGCTGTAAATCATGCTTGCAGGAACGATGAAGTTTCTGTTTCAACTAAAATGTCCTTCTCCGCAAGGCGGTTCTGCTTTTGTACTTGTGACGGAGGAACAGATTTATGGTCAGATACGAGTAAGTTTTGTCAATTCTCGTGCAGTTCCATTCGTGCATTCTATTACCATATTTTGTGCGATGGCCAGACTATTAGTTGACAAGCTCAAATATTCAGCTGCATGTATTTCGTCTTGATCTTGCTGCTGATGGCCTTTCTGTGAGCAACTGTCGTCCACTCTTGAATCAGCCTCTCACTATCGGTGGAGAATACATCGCTTCTATGCGAGAGGATGCTCCAGAAATTGTCGTTATGGCTAATCCGGGTCTACAGGTATGACTGAATTTGGTTTACTCTGCCTCTACCAGCATTTGAAAACATCATACAGCTTGTATTTACTCTTTATACTGCGTATATTTGACGGGCATGTTAGCTTGCATTACAAATGTCAGGTATGGCGAATTAATGCTATGGCGGAACAGCCCACGGAGCCCACGGAAAATTTCACTGTGCCAGGTGCCGAACTAACGCATTTTTATGACGGATTTTTGAGCAACGGGTAAGCAATGTTTATTTGTTGATACCCTAGTTGTCGACTTACTTGAGCAGATGGCGCGAATAGGTCGTTCTGTATTCAACAGCTTGAGGGATTATGCGTATCTTGGTTGCAGGGGGGAAGGGGGGGGGCATTGTTTTTCGCTTTACTGTGTCATTCACATGACTCGTGAGAAATTGCTGTTTCTGAGCAAAATTGAGTGAAAGTTCTTTTGCGTTTATTGTATTGCACTTACATAAATATATGTGATTCTTCTAATTGAATGATCGCGTACTGTTTCCATCATGACCTTTTTTTGCTCTTTCAGAAGCGTTCATTTATTATCTTCATCGCCCGATGGTCACCTCGACCACTCACGAGTTCATGTTCTTAACCTGGAGAATCCAGCTCATGTGGTATGTGCTTCCATATTTTGTTTTTGTTTTCAAAAAAGCAGAACTTCGTTAAGATCACCACACACAACTGCACACCCGATCCAGAACGAGGAATGCCACGACCGAGAAAGAACGCCGGCATCGATGGAACAGCTGGTCAGTCGCTAGAGTTGCCTTCCAAGTTAACTGGGAGGAATTGCTTAGCCTTGTAGACTTATTAAATGGACACTCCTTTCACGAGACTGATAGCAGTATACTTAGTTTTGTGAAATACATCGTTTTGTATCAACCAGGCAGTCATGATGATATGAAATTTCGAACCTTAAGCGTTTGGGGCGAATGAGTTGCAACTCGTATCGATTCTGATGTGAATTGAGTTATAGTTCGCATTCAGATGCAATACTCATTGCTGGAGGTGAAATCGACCATGGAAATTACAACGTGGAACGCTTAGTTGACTACTGGGTTTTGAACACGAGAACATTCCAGTGGCTGCAGATACCTGCTCAAATGCCTTGCCCTTTGATCGAGCCAAGGTTGACCGTTTGCAACTCAGGTAATTTAATAACTATGATTCTTGTGAAGGATTCCTCTTCACCACTATGCTCCCTCAAAGGATATGGTTTAAAATTCTTTTGCATTGGTTATCTTCGTCATTTTTCGCAATATCTGCAGTGGTTTCGCATTCCAATTCTGGTTGACCATCAGTGCCACTCCACCAATCGAACGCAGCCCATGTCTAGTTACACTGTTGGTCAACCTGTACCTTGCTAGAAATGCATGTATCAGTTTATCGGCTGTCGTGAACTAGATGCTTTCTGCTTACCACTTTATGATTATCAAGTAACACATCTCTGTCAGCTTGTATCAGTGCTTCGCAAAGTGATAGATCTAGACCGCGTTTCATCTGATGAGTTAAAGACTTCATGCAATCTAACTTTAATGTTGTCATCCAAAACCTTCGCACAAATTGATCTGCACTTTTGCAATCTGAATTATTGTCGGTCAGATTTTTCTTCGACTTTTACCTTTTTTAGTGGGTTGTCCTTGTTGGAGCAGTCTTAGCAGCTCTTCAGATTATCAAAATGCTAAAGAATTTTTTTCCAGGAAACATCTTCCTCTGGGGTGACTTCGATCAGCCACTACCTGGTATGCCTCCTGGTGGCACTCATCTGCGCATCATGAAGGTTTCGGGAATGGACAAAGCTGGGCATCCTCCTCCATACGACGAGTCTGTGTCGCAACCGCCGCTTTATCCTGCGCTGAATCCTTCTTATCCCAAACCCGGTGGTGCTGCTCCGCCATACCCTGCTTACAATCCGGCTCAGACCAATCCGGGATATGGAGCACCACAAAATCCTGGCTATGGAGCTCCACAGCCTGGATATGGTACCCCTACTCCGGGTTATGGAGCACCACAAAATCCAGGTTACGGAGCACCACAGAATCCAGGTTACGGAGCACCATCGCAGCCATCGCAGCCATATCCATACGGTGGTGGCGGAAGTGGTTATGGCAGTGGTTTTGGTGACGAAAGTCACGGCACCGAGGGATTCCAGCAAGTTCCCGCTGGACCGAATCAAACTGCCTTTTATCCTCCACCGAAATCGAAGAAAGACTGCTGCATTCAGTAAGAAAACGGCTTCCTTTTTTGCGGTATCTGTACATAGTTAACTGAGATTTAACTTACGAATCCGTTTAAGTAGACTTACAGGCCATTGCTTACCTTTCCTTTTGGTTTTTCGTCAGTGGTGTCGACGTGTTTGTATGCATACTTCTGCTTTGATATCGATGTTACCATGTATGCGCTTTCCATTTTGCAGTACATTGCTACCTGTATATTTATAAAAAATCCTATAGAATATAATAAATGCATCTACTCTCGGATACACAGAATTTCAAACATTAAGTATTTCGAGGTAGTTAGTGTTGGAGTTGGAGTGAGATTTTCACTTCGGTAACAGGTCTCATTTCTTTTTTGTTATCAACTGTAATGCTCTTCCTTGCCCCTCCAAATTCTTCGTCATTCATTGAACCATCAAAATCCTATTTTGGGCCTATTCATTACCTTGGCACTTCCATTCTCTGAAATCGTATTCGTTCAACTCATGCATTTCCTTCTTCTACTTGAAGGCACTGTTGCATCAAAAGTTGCGTCTTGGATAGTCGTCTACTCCTACACGTGTTCAAATTTGTACGAATATTTCGAAAAACGAAGGCTCCATAGGATCAACGCCGACGAGCTGTTTTACTCTAACCTTGCAGGGTCACACATATCAAAAAAGGAACGTAGCCCTGTTACGTACGGCCAGTCGTATGCGCGAGCCGAATCTCCCACTGACTTTAGTGGAGTTCTTTGACTTACTGGACGTCTCGCAATGGGTTTCCTTCAAAATCCGCAATCATCCAGTTTACTTCAATCTTGGGACACACCTTCAAATCATTAGTCATCTTCGCACCATAAAAGCACTCGCAAATTCTAGAAATCTCCACGTTATTGTGGAATTTTGTTTCATTTTCAAAAGGATGTTAATTAGCGGTGGAACTTTAGTTTTAACACGTTGACGACCGCGCCATTTTGGACGAAACTCACACTAACGTCCTTCGTGCATTTGGCCCGTGCATACGCGCGTATGCACGAAAACATTATGTGGGAGACTTTGTCGCGCTTACTCATAAAACATGCAAACTATGTTCAGAGAAACATGTATATCATAGAGTCTTACTAGGACTTACACAAATCAAGGTGTTTGCCTCGATTTTCCCTTCAATAAACCATGCAATGGCTATACCTGAGCAATGGTTTTTGCCTCGATTTTCCCTCCAATAAACCATGCAATGGCTATACCTGAGCAATGGTTTTTGGAGAAAAGCGTTGTGATAACAGGTTTTTTTTGCCTGATTCAACCTTGTTTGCTTTAAAAACAGCTACACAGAGTTTCCACCTTCTCCTAAAAACGTAATTAACATGTATTTACCACATCAAAAACGGACATACTACCCAATTTTGCGGCCAAAACTTCTGAACAGCTGCCGCGATGCCCTGTATTCTGTAACACAATCAGGGCACCAGTAGTATTACTGCATAAAAGTTACCTTAAAACTTTTCGTTTACACCCAAAAAAACTAGCTTGCATATGCGCGGATGCACGAAAATGCTAAACGGGAGTCAGGGCGTGCGAATGCACAAGGTCTCAACGTATTAATAGTGTTCTGAACAAGATCTTAATTACTGTTGAATTTGTTGTGTACATTCAGAAGAATCATCGATTACAGCGTCAAAAAATTTTCTGGATTGAAAGTCTGATGAAGAATTTGAAACATGAAACTTTATGCGAAGCAAGTGTTTTTTTTTGTGCCTAAGTTTTTTCTTTGTTAAAGCAATTTTGAATTTTGAGTCATTCCCAAGCTGATTGCGCCTCCGCTGATCTCAAATCTATCTTCTGAATTTTTTCGAGATTCTCTTCAACAGAGTCATAAGATTGTTAGTACAAGTGGGTAAGGGACCATGTGCTTGCGATAGGCTCTAACCCGCGCAGGCAGCTGGTGCAAATCTGTATGCCTGTAAAGACAAAACAGATTTCGCAGTCGTTGCACCTTTTGCCACAGTACTCCAGTTGCGTCTAACAGGGCATTCGTGGTAGGACCCGTCGCATTTTCGAAGCAGCATGCGTATTTACGACTCTCTTAACATCATTTAACACGTTTCGGACCGCGAAATCGCGCGCGGCGAAAAAGAGTGTACTTTCAGCCGTTAGCCTACAAAGGGACCTTATTTCGCAGCCTATGGGCCACATTTGTAATCAGCATATCAGATAAGCTCCATATCCAAAGTTCTGAGTGAATTCGAAGTGTTTGAATTTTGTCGCTTGAGAGGGACTTTTGTGCTTTCTTGAAAGATAGGAACAAGAACTCAGATTCTAATAGTACTCAAAAGTATCTATGTTGTACACGGTACACATCAGTATTGAAAATACGGTTTTTCTCTTTGTATTCAAAGCTAAGAAAAGTTGCGACGTCGCACGCGTCGTTCGCGTTGCCGCACTTCGTTGCAACTGATGTTCGATTTGTCCTTATATCTCCTGAACAAATATCGATGGCACAGCTCTACAGACCCTTTCGAGAAGTAGGAGCTTAGGCCTTTGACTTGATAACCTTGGGCAAAAAGAAAACCTCCTGTAAACGTTGAAAAGATCCTTCAAAGGTGCGTGCTGCACCATGTGCAGCACCGGTCCGAAACGTGTTAAATGGTACCGTTGAGCGATTTGCGTTCATAAAGGAAGTTAGTCACGCCAAGTAAAGGTTTAGGAAGTATTCAAATCTCTCGCATTGCTTTTGTCACTTTTATAGGTCTGTTGCAGAGAGGTACCTCAATAGTAGTTCCTATTCGGTCAATTTAATTGTAAACGTGCGCTTCCCACCTCATTCAAACATAGCCAAAACAATTCCTGCTATCATCGGCCCTTGGAGAGCTGCTACTATAGGTTGATGCATTCTTCACGCTGATTTTGCTAGTTCAAGGTTTTGTCTAGGTATGTACAGCGAACGATATATGGACTCCTAAGCACTTATGGTGCTAGGACATAAATTGTTCTTCCTCTTGGACTCTCTAACACCATGTCGTCACCTCAGTCTCCGTCAGTATTAACCAGTCATCTTTAGAGAAGTTCTCCACAATGTTAGAAGAGAGATGCTTGAGTTAAGACGTGAAAATGAGGCAGGGAAAGCCATAATAGCAAAAAGGACAAGCTGAGCAAGGATCTATTTTCCCATCGAGCCTAACTAATTCAAATGCAAGGAGTCTTTGTCGCATTGAAGTGAAGCATGTCTCTAGTTAGTTCCAACTGTCCACTCGAAAAGATTTCGGTTTATACAGCGGTTTTTGACTGATGTGCCTAAAGCGGAGGTATAAAAAGGCTAAAATGGCATGTAGATAAGTGGCACCAAGTCGAAGTATGCCGTTCTGAAACCATCGCACAGTGAGCGATAGTTTTAGAACGGCAGCTTTTCTGACTACAGGTAGTAATGCTGAGCTGGAGTGTAACATAAGTCACTGTATGTCGTAATTGGAAAGGCAATCATAACTCCGATTCCAACTGCAATTGTCTATCATAGATGATCCATCTAGAAAATTTAGCTGCATGAAGGAAAAGCAAAAGTCATATTTTGTAAACCATTGTGTCGCTCTCAGAACAAAACGTTTTTTGTTAAAATCCAATATTTAGTGGTCGTAATTGGAACAACTGGTGGTTGAAATTGAGTGATTGCAAACGAAACTAAAAATAAGTGTCTGGAAAACGATTTTAGTTCGGTGTGTCAAAGGGCAACCAAAACGCAATGCGCTGAAACAGCGCCGGATACACAAGCAAATGAAGATCTTCTCCGCAGTCTGTTCTGATTTCTTGATTTGAACATTAACCGCACTGTTATGAGGACGAGATCTCTGCAGTTGCAAAGAATCAGCCTTCCGCATAACTTGGACATTCTCACGTTCAGAGGACGGAGAGCAGTAGAAGCATTAGTTGGTCACCACGAATGCCCTGTTAGACGCAATTGGTGTTGTGGCAAAAGGTGCAACGACTGCGAAATCTGTTCTGTCCTGTAAAGTATGGAGCTGCGCGCTTTGTCTCAGATGTCCGCATAGGGCCACCCCCTTACGGCGACTTATTGTCCTCTACCCTGTAGAAGTCTGTGTTTGCTGCATGTCCGCGCGAGACACTCCAGCAAGACAACTGCCTTCAAAGGAAGGACCTATACTCAGTTCTGAAACTGCAGTTCTGAGATGAGACTATTCGAAATTCTTTGCACGCGTGTTATTAGCACGTTGCTAATCGTTACTTCATTTCGGGTGGATGCTTGGAATGAACGGACTGACGACTCGAGCTTGTCAGGCAACGTGTGATCAGCGGTCAAAGTGATATATCAATCTCGGGTAGATAATACGCTATCGAATTTTATTTTGCATGCAAGCCTTTCTGTGGTATGCTTTCGGGCACTGCTATGATTAACTTTCCACATTAGTCCATTACCTACCAGAAGAAGTGATTCACGGACATGCAATCTCACACAGTTCGATACAACTTATAGGCTGTTCCAAACGGCATCGGTCCTCTGACGTCGCCTACGGTGATTTGATACAAAGCTCCGAACCTGCTATTTATTAAGTCGGCTGCTAACAAGGAAACGATACTCGATGTCCGTCGCCTTTTGAGATGATATGTATACCATTACACTCGTCTTGGAAAGCTGATGCTGAATCTGACTTCCGTTTGTGCTAATCGTTTCTCTGGAAGAAGTTATTGAGGAATTTTGTGCAAGTTTGACCGCCCAAGGGAAATACGATAGGAACGCCATCATCTCCGTTACGCTGTGGTAGATATCGTGGTCAGTGCGATAGCTGCTCAATAGCTGCGCGCGTAACGCCGGCCATTTGCTCGCGCAAAAGGCTGGCATTACTGCCGTGGCTACTTGTTCACGCGCAAATTTTACCGCATTTCACCTTCAATGCAAGCACCTATTGTCGACTCCCCACCTTTGGCGAGGCGGGATCGTGATCTTCACCAAAGATCGACGGATCAGGTATGCCTCAGCAGGGGGCAACCGCAACGCAGGGCACGCTAGCGCAGCTCCGCCTCGCCAAAGTTGTGGAGCCGCTCATATATTAAGCGGAAAATCTACTCGACTGTACATCCAAGGAAGGTACAGTAGGAGGTGCTGCAGAACTCATCAGTTGTAAATGGCTCGACCACAGCAAAATAATCAGGTTGATTGAGGCCTTTTTTTGGCTTCAGATATGCGTTCCTTTTAATACCTCGGAACGAATGTATGCAGGTTTCTTTGCACCAATCTTGAATTTCTTTAAATAGCTGAAATCGTAGTGGATGTG